GGTGCGGGGCTGCGCCGCCGCCACTCTTCCCGGGAGCTTTCCCCTCCGGTGCCCCCCCCGAAACCGCTTTGCTGCTTATCCCCACCAACCCGGCAGGCACCGCCGGGCAATAACCGGGCCCGGCGACGGCCGCGCCAGCCCACCCCGAGCCCAGCAGACCTCTTGAGCCAGGGAGACAACACCGCTCAGGCAGAAACGGGCCTCGGGCCCAGCTTGTTACCTCCTGGCCCACCCCAGCCGGTCCCTCGAGCACAGGAGGGCTTCACCCAGCATCTGCAGCTGCTCCAAGACCTCCCGCTCCATCTCCGCGGCCATGTGGTGGACCTGGTGGTTGAAGCTGTTGTACATCACCGCGTTCTGGAACATGAGCATGAGGTCACGCTGGAACTGGACCATGGACCGAATGTGTCCCTTTGACAGTCTTCTCTTTATGCTGGTTAAATCCATGGGCCTACAAAAGACAGGAGGAGAATGAAATTGCAACACGGGGCCAGGCATTCTTCAGGCTCTGCATGAACATCCTTCTAGTTTCAGTGTGGCCCTGAAAGCACAGCTATTTTCAATCAATTTTATTGCTCAGGACAAAGAGGGACAGTGAGAAATGTTTTTCTTCTAAGTCAGAGAAAAGTAAGTTTAGCCAATGCGACGCTTGCTATCCAATCAACTTGGCAGGTCGTTAGCAGTCACCTCTAAAAAAAACTTGCTATTGAGCTCCAGAGAAGGCAAGCAGAGCGACTCTGGTAATTAGTCTTCATGAAGTCAGTCCAGGTCTTAGTGCAGAAAGAAAAGTTACTAAAAAAGGTATCTATTAAACCCCCTCAAAATCGAATGGGGCCACTAGCAAAAATAGCAGTGCTGATAAGGGGAACATGACAGGGAATAAATATTACTTCCCTTATTTTGACAGAATGAGAAAATGAATGGCTGCAGAGACGACAGCTGTGACCAGAATAGAGTATGATTCAGCTCTGGAAAATGCTCTTAATCTCTCTGGGAAATATTCTTATGACCCACTTCTCCACTGAGAGTAAAACATCGGGGGAGCAGGCAGTGGCTGAGGAGAGGATATTGACCGAGGCACACGCTTCCACCACGGGGATGAGAGACTGCTGAGCTGCAGACACTGAATCCCCTGTTCAGGCAGGGCTTACAGCTACATGGACTGGGCCTGGAGGAAGTCAGGGAGGCAATGCTAGCAAAGAGCAGGCACCGTTCCTGTCAGCACCAGAATCAGTGCAAGCTTCCAGCTTCTAATCACCCAGAAGGGAGTTTTAATAAAAGAGATCAGAGGGAGATGCTGGTGACAGGCAAAGGGAGGAAGGAAACTGTCCCAATGGCCCTTTGTAACCAGAGAAGACAGAAAAAACGGGGAGCACTTCCTCTGCAAACTCACCTCTTCACCACATCCCCGTACCCAGGGGCTTGTTTCTCTGACACCGCCTTCAGGAAGGGGCCGCTGTACCTACAAGGACAAGCACCAAGAATGACCTCTGCCCGCCTCTCCACCAAAGACAACATCGCAACATGGACCAGTGCTCGCCGCTCCCTGCTTGCCGTGAGGGCCACGGCCGACTCGCAACAGCCAGTATGCGGTGGCTGGCACAACTCGGCATGGGAAGAGGCTGAGCCCCTCGCTGGAGCTGGCTGTGCCAGCTGTGTAGGAAGCAACATTTGGGCTCTGCCACATGAAGCAGAAGAAATAAATGTGCAGTGCTCTCTCCACCTTTGCAGCATGCAGCTGTTCTTGCTGCGGGGACAGCCAGAAGCAAAGCCATGGAGAGACAAGCCAGCCTGTGGTGGCTGTTGTGGAGGGGAGGACAAGGCCTGGTGACACAGGAGCGGGAAGTCAGGGCAATGTGTTCAGGAGCCATGTCAATCCAACCCTCTGCCCCCGCATACCTGTGACTGGCGATCATCTTCCAGATGGACAACAGAGTTCTTTTGAAGACCAAACGCTGCGGGGGGTTATCCCAGCTC